CCCAACTACTGTTAACAGGCAAAGAAAAAACCTGCAAGATTTTGCATGTTTATAGACCTGCTTTGAGTGTCTTTGAGTGCCACTCATGGAAACCTTTCCAGTCAGGAAAAGTTTCAGCTGAATCTGGCTGTCACAGTATAATCACCAAATGAGAACTGTCTAGTTTGCATGTCTGAATATGATGATGAGAGACATTTCCTTCTCCTGTCAGAAGAGCTTAACAATCGCTGAGCCCTGATGACACTGGATGACCCTGACTTCATGAAATGTTCCTGTAATATTCTAGATTATCTCATGAAATTATCATCTGTTAATGACTACTTTGGCAGCCATGGATCAGTAGACATTTCTGATACTACTACCTGGAAAAGCGACCTAGAAGTAAAATGTCTTAAATTAAGTGTATTTACCCTTAATTTGAGTAGTTAAATAAGGTGGTTTGCCAATGGAATGAGTATTTTTACTCTTGAAATAAGATAATTAGATAAAATACAAGTGAAATAAGACAATGCAATTGTGTTTTCTTATTGTAAGTGTAAATTGTCTTGTTCCGTTGGGAAAATGTATATTTTACCTTCTCAATCCAAGAACAAATGCACTTATTTAAGAAAAAATTACCTATCTAGATTTAGATTTTTTTTCCAGTGTACAACCTGGAGTGAAGCTGCTACTATTTCATTGATTTTTTTACAAAAATGAATTTGAACCTAAAAAGCAAAACTTAATTTAAGGGTTTTTTTTTTTTGAGAAATTTGCAGTGCTGTATGTGTGTGTCCCCCCTTACAAATAATATGAAATTTTGGTTTTCATCACATTTGTATGTTCCTAATGATAAACAGATTTTATTAGACATTATCAGACATTATTCTTTATTTTCAGATCCCAACTCCGAATTACATATGCACTAAAAGCCCCTTTTTTCTCAGCTCTTTTATCTTTTTATAGTTATATTTATATAGTTTTTTAATCATCCACAGTATTTATTTTCAATCTAACCTACATGCCGATGTCGCTGCACCTGGTAGCCAAGCAATGACATTTCATTGTCAATCTCATTATGTGGATTTATACAATGACAATAAAAGAAGTCTAAAATAACCTGGTTAAATACAGAAAGCAGATTTTAAATGGTTGGTTTGATTTATTAAGGGGAAAAATTCTGTGCCAATCATCCCCATTGATTCAGAACAGGCAAGAACTGACAGAACAGGCAGGATCCAGGCTTCCAGGCATCCCAGAGCTCCCAGGCAGGTACAGAGTCTGAAAGAGTCCAGAAGCATGACCAGGCGTACACGCACAGGAGCAGACAGGATCAGGTGCAGACGGGGAGGCTCAGTGGTGGAGGGTAGCAGAGACAGGACGTGGAACCAGAACTTGAGCAGGACCTTTAAACTGTTCTCCTCCTTGGAGCCAGGCTTACTGGAATAAAAACTGAACCTGCTCGCGTAAAGAGCCAAAAACCCAGAGGACTAAGCAGGGGAGGAACAGTGGACGAGCAGGAGACGAGACAGGCACAAAACCCTCTTTCCTCTGGCTGCCAGGATCAAGGACATGAACCATGGAATAAACAGACTCAACAGAAAAGAACATCTAATGATCTGGCCATGATAGCTGGAACTGAGCCCAATATAAGGGAATCTGGCAGGTGGATGAGATGAATGATAATTAGGAGCTGGAAAGAGTTAAACAGGTGAAAGGCATAAGTAATTAAGGTCAGCTATCCCAGCAGATCATGACAATTTGTTCATATTTCTTAAATTAACAACTATTAACTTATAAATGACCAGTGGAAGCTAATTTTGTAACATGCAGAGCGTTAACGGATTTATATTGAACAAATACCACATTGGCTGCTTGTGCCGAATGAAATCTAAATAAAATTTAACCAAGTATTTAAAATAATAATTTAGCAGCTAATTGAGAGAACGTATTACATTAACTAATAATTTGTAAATATTTAACAACACCTACACTCCCACCAAATCACACATAAGGGATTTTATTCCAGGTAATTTGATGCAGCATGTCAAATCAATAAATGCTTTCAACATACTTTCGCTAGAGTACATAACTAGGGTTGACTCAATCAATATCACTACTGTCGCACCATACCATCATTCATCCATTTTCTGACACGCTTTGTCCCAATTGGGGTCACGAGGGGTGGGTTGGTGCCTATCTACACTCACACCTAAGTTGATTTTTTAGAGAAGCCAATTGACCTAACAGTCATGATTTTGGACTGTGGGAGGAAGCCGGGGTACCTGGAGAGAACATGCAAAGTTCACGCTGTAAGACCCTGGCCAGGAATCAAACCCAGAACCTTCTTGCTGCGAGGCAGCAGTGCTTCCCACTGCGTCACTGAGCAGCCCCGCCATACAATCAGCACTAGTATATTCCACCACCTTGATGAGTCTTACTTGTACCGTAGTGTACCATCATCTTTTAAATTGACAGTAACTACTTTTTATGAGTTTTTGACTGTGTTAACCATGTCTGGCAATGTTGGAGGTCCAGTAGATACTCTTTCGTCCACGTCCCTCAGATGCACTGAACTGAAGCATCTTAATTCTGTAAACCTAAGGTTGTGAATCTAAGTTGCCCTTGTCCCACCAGAATAACCTAAGGTAATCTTGATTAACAACATGTAACTGATGGAACATCGTTTCCAGGTCAAACATAATGGCTATTGAACTCTTTATAAATCTATACAGCACTCCAATAAGTGTGTTCTTAGATCTTGGTCAGTGAAAAGGTGACGTTTTCCCCCAGGTTTGTCAGAGTGGTAGACTCCATGATGCAGAGTGTTCCACATCATGGATGGTTGTTGTCCGAATTCGGACCCCGGAAACTTCTCAGCATGTCCTGTATATATTATGCTATTTATAAATTAAACATAATTAGTGCTGTACGGCTTATTTTTTCTTACATTTCTCATTCATTGATGATGTGAACAGCACATTGTTATCTAATAAATCTGGTTTGTCCTCTTTGAAAGGAAGAGGAAGCTCATAGTGACTCTCCCCTTTGTTTTATCCCTGCCTTTAAAATAGAATAGAATAGAATAGAAAATCCCTTTATTGTCCCACAATGGGTAAATTCTGGTGTTTACAGCAGCAATAAGATTATAGAAAAAAGGTCACACAAATGTGGACCTTAGAAAAGTGTATAAAAATAACATAATAGTGAAGAGTTAAAAAATACTGTACTGTAAAGTGTTTGAATATATTGTGCACGTGAAGAATAAATAACCCGTTTACAGCTGCAGACATTTTTAAAGTAATGGATATTTGAAAGTAGCAGCAACATCAGAGATGTGCAAAATGACAGCAGCATGTTATTTAACTGACTAAGGTAGAAACTGTGCAAAATCAGGATGAATGTAACAACTTATTTAGGTTGTTGGAAACAGTGATGGTTATAAAGTCTTACAGCTGCTGAGAGGAAGAATCTGTGATGACGCTCCCTGGTGCATTTACAGTAGGGTGCAGCAGTCTCTCACTGAAGGAGCTCTCCAGTTCTGCAACAGCTTCATGCATGGGGTGGGAAACATTATCCAACAGAGATGTTAATTTAGATAGGATCCTTTTGTTTCCCACCTGAGGGCATCCAATCACAGAGCTGGTCTTCCTGATCAGCTCATCCAGCCGCTTTAGCTCAGCAGCAGATAAGCCACTGCTCTGACAGACAGCTCCATAGAAGATAGCTGATGCCACAACAGAGTCATAGAAGGTCTTTAGGAGTGCCCCCTGCGCTCCAAAAGACCTGTCTCCTCAGCAGGAGGAGTCTGCTCTGACCTTTCTTATACAGAGAAGGCAATCTTGTGATTTTGGAATTTCATATGTGCTTTGCTCTGCAAAATGTAACCCTTAAATCTTGATTACTTCTGTAGGGCTGATTTCCTTGATTTGACTTATACACACAATGATCACCCAATAATTTGGGTGGTAGGTAGTTGCATGGCAGTTACTTATGCACCTATACTTATTTTACTTGTTGCACCATTACCCTGTGGCTAAATCCTATTCCATCCTTACAATCAATAGGTTGGATGAAAATCCCCACAACGCTCCAGCCTATATTGGTTCGTTCGGCATATGCAAAAGTTCCCTCACCAGAAATAACTTTTCTTGTTAGGGGGCTTGTTGGCAGATATCAAAAGGGCTACATCACAGTTCAGTAGTGGGGATATCTTATTGGCTATCTGTTCCAAGTGAGCCCATTTCAGAGTTGTGTCTGTCATTGGAAAGTGCAACTGGTTTGCTGGAATTAATCATCTTGTGAATATTGGTGGCAAAATAATCCTGTTTTGCAGTTTGTGTCCTCTTATTTGGAGATTTGTCAGTTTCTGAAATGGTATGACCCTGGATTTTGCAGACACCATTACAAGCTCACATTCTCTATAGCTCCTTTAAGTACGCCATATGTGAGGGTCCTGCTCTGGAAGAAATGAGACATTACACCTTTAACATGTAACCTTTTGTTGACATTAAAACATTAAAAATGTTCCCAATGATAACTGTGCTGTAGCTTGTGATGCAGTTTAAATTCCTGTAATTCATTGATGGTAAAATATTAAATTACAGATTATAGTACAAAATAATCCATTCATTATTTCATTTGTTTTTTCAATTAGAAACCAACAATGAGAATACCAGAACATTCTTTTTTCAAATGTCGCTTTATTAAATGATATGGGAAAAATGGAGAAAAGTTATTTTTTAATTCAATATTTCCCTACTAATTTGGGAATTTGGAACTCTGACCGCAGAAACCTTTTAGTTTCCATTTAATTTCTACATTCACTGGAAATATGTCATAGCAGAGGTTTATCATATAAGCGATGGGAACGTGTGGTAGCCCACCGTTTAGGCAGCTGACAGGCAACACTGTCGACATTCGACATTCCTTAGGCTTTTTAGAATGTGGTTACACATTGAAAACCAGCGAGTTTGTAGGATATGCAAGCAGCTGTCTTAGTATGATGTTAAAGTAGTGAACGATATTGAAGTAAGTCCAGTTTTCCTAAGTTATTTTACTACATGCTACAACTTATTAAGAGAAATTAAAGCTTTTGAAAAATTTTCCATTTGTGTTCTTTTAATAAAAGTTTAAAACTTAGAAATGGATTTGTGCAGGACGGAACATCCCTCTAATCTTCCTGTAATTTTCCATGCAATAGAAATAATGACGAGGGATGTGAATAACTGTTTTGGGCCCTCCTGCCTTGAGATGATAACACAGCAAATGAATGTTTTAGGCTGATTGCTTTAAACTGCAGAGAGAAGAGCAACGAGTATGATTATCATATAAACCAATGAATAGTTTGTCGAGTCATTAATTAGGCAGCAGGAGGTCAGAATACAATATCTGCCGTGATCACAAACATATGTAGTTAAAAAAAACCAGAGAAATCCAGTTGCATTCTTTCCTGGTGAACTAAATCTGAAGGCTTTTAATCTTTGCTTCACTGTCCTAAATGTTACATCTCATAACTTTGCATTACAAATTAATCTGGCTGAAATCTTCAGTTTTGCAGAAGCATGATTTTTACGTAGAGATATGCTGTTTTACACCCACAGAAAATCTGTTCTGTGTACACCAACTGATAAGTGATAAGTCAGCTATGCCAGATAAACATACTCTGAACATTTGACACAAAAATTCAATGACTTTGTTCATAAATGTGAGATTTATTGCTTTGCATTAACAAGATTCCAATTAATCTGCAATAGGCTGGGATTTAGTTTTCTTATGGTTACTCAGATGAATAAAGGCAACTTTATAGCATGTTTATGAGACATGGTGTGGTTTTTCAAATAACATCAGATGTTTGAACTCAGTGGTGTTTATGGAAAATTCTGCAATGGAAAATAATGTTAAATTTAATAGTCGCCTGTTGTTGATCAGGGGATACAGAAACACTGAAGTGTCACATATATCTTTTTTTTTTAGCCATACTCCCTGCAGTGCCAAGTTTCTGTTAGTAACTACTTAATCCCCTTCCTAAAGCTCTGCCAGCATCTAAACTATTACTGCAGTTTTTGTAGAACAAGCTGCTGACCAGAACAAATTAATTATGATAGATATTCAACTCATATATTTTGACTTTTTTGTTTCAGGATACTTTGTGCAGGATGCAGGTGATATTATTCTGACAGGACACGCCAGAGGATCATGGGAGTTTTTGCTCCATCATGCAATGGTAAGTTGCTCGCAACTCATTCAAGCTGGCCTTTCTGGTTCAGACTGCATAGCTGAGTCACAAGACTGAAGCTCAGTAAATCAGCAAAAGATAGATAACGTCACAGTCTGCGGTGCAATCAACAGGTTCACAAGGCCTAAAAAAAACAGGAAAAGTTGAAGCTAAGGTTTAATTTTATTTTCTTCCATTTTCCAATAAGCTGTGCTAGATTAAAGCAAACAGGTGACAGATAATGATAATAATGATAAATGTTGTAATTTTGAATGTTTTAAGAGAAAATTCCTTTAGTGAAAAGACATCACTGAGCGTGTGGTAGGATTGTGGTATCAGTGTCAAAACATCTACCCCATTTACACTACACTCTGAAAACTAAATCGTGGCAAGTTCATACCGAGCTTAGATCAGTTAACCGTGCTGAATTCGGTTCCTAACAACCATTTATACATTATGCTAGCATGGTTCCTCGCCTCCTAGTGACGATCTATGGTACTACTGCGCTCTAGAGGAAAAAAAGCAAACCAACATGGTTGCATCCGTAAAATTCAGGAAGTTATTCTTTGTTATCAATGTAATATTTTGTTGTTTGCGGAGAGTCAGTCGAAAAAGGCAGCCTTTGGTGGATTTACTTGACAGAGTTGGCTTTTGGGAAGTGGATACGTCATATAATGATATAAAAACGCTTTAATTAAAATAATGTCCTAATTGTACAGTAGAATTGAATAGAATAATGTAAATTGGATAGGAAAACCCTTTATGGTCCCACAGTGGGGAAATTCTGTTTTTTTACAGCAAAAAGATTATAGAAAAAAATGGTCACACAAATGTGGACCTTAGAAAAATGTATAAGAATAACATAATAGTGAAGAGTTAAACATTAAAAAAACAATACAAATACTGTACTGTAAAGTGTTTTAACAATATATAAACTGTGTACCTGGAGAATAAATAAATAATATACAGCTATGGACATTTTTATAGGAATGGATATTTTAAAATAGCAGCAACAATCAGTAACATGTCACTTTTAATTTGTAAAAGTTTTGAAATGATTTATCACGGTTTACTGTTACATATCACAGACATATAACAACTTTTAGAGACGGATTAAAGCCTTTAACACTTTTAAGACACTTTCCTTTGATAGTTCACAAAATAGACATCAATAGTAAGAAATACATATGGAACTATTCAAACTACTAGTAATAACAATTCAACAACATGCATTAAAGATTGGATCGACTGAATATAAAATGAACTGAAACAAAACCAATTAAAATATTAGAAAATATCAGTACCTCCATTCATTAAGGGAAACAATTTATATAGGTTGATTATACACAAAATGGTACTCTTTAATTTGTTCTCTGTTAATTAAAATTAGTTTCTGCTGCAGATAATAAAAAATGCTAAATTTAAGAAGGAAATAATACAACCGATTAATGAAAATTTTCAATACACAATTGTGAGATAATTTAAAAACTATGTTTAATAATTCCTTAAATATTTTCAGACCAAAGTGTTTATTATAAAACATGTTGTAATTTTGTAAATGACTAAATCAGTCTAGTATGCATTACCAAAGCATTAACATTGGATAATGTCTTAATCCCATTTGATAGACTAAGCATTTGTTCTGTCTGTAGGTGATTTGGTGCTTCCTGTACGCCCTCTACACCGAGCTCTACATCGCCGGCGCTTTGATTGCCCTCTTCGTGGAGGTCAACAGCGTCACCCTCCACTTACGGCTGATGCTGAAGCTGGCTGGAGCCCAGTCTTCCTCCATGTATCACATCAACAAATTTGCCAACCTCTTCACTTACGTCATTTTTCGTCTTAGCACCCAGTTCTACCTCACCTGGTACATCATTCAAAACTACTCCTGGCTGGATCACGGTGGTTGCTTCCTTGTCACCATGATGGTAATGAATATCATGATTGTGATTTATTTCTACCGCCTGCTCCGTGCGGACTTCTTCCCTCGAAGCAAGAGCTACGTGGGGCAGAACGGCACTCACAACAACAACTCCAAGAAGTTTCTTAGTGACTGATATGGAGAGGTTTACAGGACTGCAATATGCTTTTATTTAAGACAAAATTTCCGGATTTTGGTGCATTTTCATATTTACAATTGTTGTGACAAAAGAATCACTGCCAAAGGATTAGATCCCAAAACAATTAGAGAACCAACACGCAGGTGCTGCTTGCTAAAGTAACAGTAAAGCAGGAACATTTTTATGAGATTTATCATTAGTTTAAAGTAAAAGTGACAAACCCTTAAGATTAATACAGTCTTAAGAGGAGATCTTTGATATATTGCAAAAAATTTGATCAGTATCTATTTTAATCACTTTTCAACTAAAGGTTAAAAGGTACATTTGTCAGGATTGATGCTTCAGGCTAACGCAAACCAATCTTATGGACTTGTCCATATGGAGCATACTACAGTAGCTGACAAACATGCTGCAGACATAAAAAACACAAACTCCTACACTAAAAAAAAAACTTAAAGCGCTCTACCAGACCAACAGCTATGACATCTGAAGCCTCAGCATCAGCTGAATGGAAGAAACAAAATGTACTGTACCTTTTTATTAATGACTTATAAAACATGTGACTGTAAACTTTTACAATATAGAACATCAGCATATTCATGTAGGTAGAATTAGCCTGCATGTCTTTACTGAGAGTCACGTCCCATCAGACTAGGTGGTCGACTCCCTCTAGTGGTCTGGTGCACCTCCGTTATTTTAGAGAGTTTGTAAGTTTAAAAGCTTGCTGTTTTTATTTGTACTTTGCATTTTTATGACTCTATTTTTTTTTTTTTGTGCCTGGAGCGTTTTTGTGCTTGTATATTTTGGATTTATCATCGTTCCTATGTCTGCAGCATGTTTGACCATTTGTGGTGTGCTCAGTCGGCTCAGTCATTTGCACCACCGTAGCACACTGTAACATAACTACATCATAAATGACAGCGAGCAGGTAGAATAGCGATAACACTGAGTGGGATGCAACATTAAGCTTGTATAAAAGCACTGTGTGCTAATGGTTGGTAGACACATAAAAGAAGGAGGGGGATCTAAAGATTGACTAAAAGATGATATTAAGCTGTAAATAGACTTCGCTCTATTTTGTTTTCTAAAACAGTGTTTTTTTCTTCACTGATGGTATATAAAGGTAATAAAAGACACCTTTAAAGTTAAAGGTGATGGTGGTGATAGTTTAACACTGTAAAATGCATCTTTTAACAATTAAAAGAATGATGACCAATTCATGTCTGTAAGCTAAATTTGAAGAAATTGCAAGTGATTTCCCATTTATATAAACACTAAGACATGAAAAAGCCAATTTATAAGTCAGAAAAGGACAAAAAAACAAAAACAAAAGGGACAATATGAGAGATTTATGGCACAATGTGTCCTAACAAAGTGTTTGAATGTATAAAATGAAGTCTAAACATGTTATAGAAAATAAATATGTTATAGAAACTTAGTAAAGCAGTGGTACGACAGGGATTACAATTTTGAAACATACAAGTAGTGCTAAAAAACAAACGGAATCCTATCCCATACTTCAAACTTTATACAGAGAACACAATATGAGAGAGTGAACCTCAGTAGCTAATAGTAAGCATTACGCTAGTTTACAGAGTTAATAGTTTAGAAGCTATCTTTGTTGGTTTTTTTTTAGAGAAAAGTCAAACAAAAGTGACCAATCTTGTTTGATTTTCACAAAGTATTTGTCCCTAGGCTAAAAGTGAGCAATTCTTCCATTTAGCCTACAAACAGGAGAATGGTGCTGATATTTTCAGTAAACTCGCAGCATCAAACTTTTAAGTTCAAGCAAAAAAATATGAAAAACATAAAGATTATATGTAATTAATATTTCAGTTTATCTTCAAAGGTGCTAGGTAGATTTTCTTATTTATCGTAATGTTGCTAATGTTTTTAGTCGGGCTGATTGTTGCTTGCTTATTTAAATGAGTTTCTGGATGTACATATAGTATAGGTACTGAAATTATTTATAATGTTTATGTTATTTGCTGCTGGAATGCTAACCTTTCCTGGTAATGTTGAAGTATATGTTGGGTATACTTCAGTACATGTATTTAAAATGGTTAATTGCGTATTGTCTGTTGTGTTTTGTACAGTAAATCCATTTTAGGGTATGTTGTATTTTACATCTGCATTCAAGTCAGTTCAAAAATATTTTACAAAGGGAAGTCAAATGTTTTAACTCATGGGGCATGTGCAGACGTTTTTTTTGTTTTGTTTTGTTTTTGTAGAGGATTTTGACTAATGTGGACTTTTGGAACTTTCTAGATTTGCATTTTAATATTGTGTCATTGTGAGAACCAATCTTCTGTCTCTATGAAGCCAATTCTTTATTCATGGCTGAAGAGATTGTGGACATGACAGAGTTGTCCAGAACACATTGATTTGCTAACACATAGTGGGATCGTTTGTGGTCCTTTTATAGCAAAACCTGTTGGTATCTGACTCCATTGGAGCTGAAGCTGGATCTTCCTGCCGTCTGACAGCTGCTCATGAGGAACCCCAAATACGCCTTCAAAAAGAGCGGACAGCAGCACAATCGTGTGGTCAGACCCTGCGTATCTCCTGCTGTTTTGGATAAATGATGATACTTTGGAAATTATGAACTCTTAAAGACTGAATCAGATTGGAGAAAAAAAGTCTCTTCTTCCTCTTTCATCAGAGACAGATGTAAAATATTTTGTAAAATGTACATTCCTTTGGATATTTGTTGGTCTTTATCATTCCTAACCGACAAGTTTATTGCTCAGACGTGACATTAGGTCCCCACCCTCCTGTGGACCTGAAACATTAACAAGGAACATCTGAGGATGTTTGCTCAGCAGGATCCTGTGGCATTAGCAATAGAACCTTTGATTTATTTAAAAAAAAACAAAATAAGGTGTTGCAAGTATTAAACCAGCAGAATAAAACAGAATATAGGAGTGTAAAATAATGAGCCCTGTAACTTATTTTACCAGTCAATAGTCATAATATTGTGGCTGATCAATGTAAACCTCATTTACTGTTTCAACCAACGCCAAGAACAGACAGCATAGACCGAGCTGACATGCATCTGACCTGTGCTATAGTGCCTTCATACCTAAGTGCCTTCTGAAAAATTAGCAGAAAACACAATAAATCAATATTGACTGAGTGAATTGAAGCAGAGAGAGTTCCCATTAACAGCAAACTCTAGTTAATTTATTTGAACATGAGCACAATATTGTAAATGTGTCTTGTATTGAAGTGATCTATAGCGGCCCTGTCTTTTTAATCACTGAGTGAATAAATAAGTGTTTAAAATCACTGGTAGTCATGATTTATCTTTCTTCTTCAACATGTATTTTAAAGCTGAAGGAGATTTATTTTCAAGACATGTTATCCATCTGTTTTCTACCATTGAAAAGGTGGCATAACTAATTTTTACCTAAAACACACTTTTTTGAATAGCAAAGGTTAAAACAATCTAGACAAATTAAATACTACAGTAGTAAGGAACACCTGTTGATGCTGAAACCAAGGCTTACTCATAGTCTCTAGACGCATGAAACAAAAAAAAAAAATAGAATTAGCCACCTTCTGAAGGTTTTTCTAAGTTTTTTCAAAAATCAAAAGCCTTACAGATGAAAAACTGATGTGTTTTTAATCAATAAAAACAGTAACCAAGAAGTTAAAAGATTATTATAAAGTATTAAGCTTTAGCATTTATAATAACTACTCGAAGAAGAGAGACTTTTATTTCTTTCCTGATGTTTTAGTAAGTAAATACATGCCCTGTTGTTTAAAAGGTATCAAATGAGTTGTACAGATTGAAAAAAAAGGCCTATGTGTTAATCTATCTTGTAATTTTTGTTCATGTTTTTTTGGGAAAAAATTATACAACTGCAAGTTAGACTAAAAAAAATGTATGATCTGACCAATGTCTATACTTCTTTTTCTTCCAGGATCATTAGGGAGACTAGTTCTTATGTCAAGTGGTGTAAATGTTTTCTTCTGATATTTACATATACTCCAAGGGTTTTTAGTTTTTCTTCAAAAACATTAAAATGCGATAAACATTTAATCCTTTGTGCTTTTCTTCTAAGGTGTTTCTAGCATTTTAAGGGTGTGCTCTAAGGATACTTATTTTTATTTTTTTCTATAATGGGTTTTAATTTATGCCTTTGTATTTTATTTACATTCTGAACCGGCATCTCAACAAAATAACATAATAACAAAAGAGACTATTAATTCCATTTGTGCCCCTTAGGTTTGACTTAGAAAATCTGTTCAAACTTCAGGCATATCTATGGCCCTGTGTTGGGAGCTGGTCCTGATCCCTGTTATGGTCCCTGTACTGAAAGAAAACATTACATAAATTATTATAATTATACATAAATAAAGTCATGTTTCTTGAAATAGCCGTATTTATCCTTGATTTGAATGGGTAGGTAAGACAATTTACCAATGGAATGCAATGATTTTCGTACAAAAAAAAAAAGTAAAAAAAGAAATTGTCATTATTTTGTTTTTAGAACAAAATATTAATTTCTTTGTTAGATCATTGTATATGCCGGCTCAGTTTAAGGAAAAATACACTTATTTTCAGCTTTTCTTTTTCTTTTTTGAATTAGTTTGTGCAGTGGACTACAAAATTAATTTCTCGTGATAAAATGCGCTGACAGAAGGGATGGCACTGCAAAAAGTGTCCAGATCTCACCAAAAGGTCTTTTTGATCTTGTTTTGAGATACATATGCTTTTATTTTTAAGAATATTTATCATCATGTTAAGAAGCCTCAAAAAATACAATTGTCATACTACATTGGAAGATCATTGCAAATATTCTGAGGAGAATCTTCACAAAAGAAGATGATCAATCTGAATCTGTGAGATCCAGGATTGTAAGACTTTTTTAGATGGACATTTTTTTGCAGTAAGTTTGTAGATATATATAGGTTTGTACCTTAGACCAATGTATTACCTTTATAGTTTACTTGAACAATTATTTAAAATTAGAGTCACCTTTAAGCATCATATAAATTACAATACAACCACAGTTTTCATTTTTAGATTAGGAGTCTGCAACTTTGGTCTGGGGGCTCCCTTAATATACAAACTTGATCTGTTTTTGGCGTGCAGTTGTTATTATTTTTGCTCCGTGCCCCAACCCTAACCGCCCCGGTAAATTCCACCTAGAACCGCCACTGGTAAGTGAAGCTAAAACTTTATTGATCTCACATTGAAGGAATCTACCTCCGCATTTTAACCCATTCCCTTGGGGAGCAGTGGGCTGCCATTGTGCAGTGCCCAGGGAGCAGTGTGGGGTGAGGGTCTTGTTCAGGGACCCAGAGTGGAGGCTGTGGGGATTGAATCAGGTAGTTGTACCTTTCCCAGAGCACAAGCGTACTGCTCTAACCCACAAGGCCAGCACTACCCTTTATTTATTTATTTAGTTATTTATTTTATCTTAACTTTCTTAATCCCCAATTAATTAAAAGTAGCTTTTTTTAATCCTTAAATGGAACATTTATGTCACTGTTTTTAGTGTGAAATTATGCTACTGCAATGAAAGATTAATTTTCATGTAGAACTCTTGTTTTTAAGGCTTTCATCTGCTGGTAAATTTGGAGACTGCAGATTCCTGGTTGTTCCGCATTTTGTCCAGCAGGGGGCGCAGCAGCAGGGGAAATGTGGAAGGAAAGAATGAATCCAGGGAACTGAGTCAGCAGCTGCTGCTTTTCGGCTGCTTCCGTGGATCCGCTTCAGCTCCGTTAATAAATGGTAAGCTTTTTATTTTTCTAACCAAACACTGGGGACGTGGGCTGCTTTAGCGTGAAGGGAGAGTCATATTTTGAAGAAAAGGAGAAGAGAAGAAGACCATCTCGATCTGCTGAGGTATCCCTCTAACATCCCTTAAGCTAAAACGCGCTACTTCTTAGTAAACTTTGGAAAACTCACAGCCACTTTCTCTCCAGTTTCACCTCTTTACCTGCGGTTTAATGTTATATAAAGTGTTAAAGTCGCTGCAGATATATCCAGAACCGGACCAAATGAAGTAAATAGACATTTTCTCATCTTGTTTGGGAGCTTTGATGAACAATAGGATTAAAACAGACAGTAAGTGGATCAGTCCCCCCCCGGGCTCCATTTAATTTCATGGATAATCAACATTTGGCTCCTTCAGGCTGCCGTAGTTTTTAGGAAAACTTAAGTATTGGTCTGTGTGCTCCAGTTGATTTTCAACTGCCTTTGTATGTTATATACAATAGAACCTGGTATGTAACAAACTCATGATTGTTTAGTAACAGAAATATTTATCCAAGTATACAGTAATCTTATGGAGCTAGATGCCTTGGTTAACAAAAAGGAGAAAGATTTCATCTACCCTAAAATCTTCATCACTGAAGAGGGTGGACATTTTTTTTGTAAGATCCTTTAGAAAAACAAATAAATTCAGCTGTATTTTTTTCTATTCTCTCTGCAAATTTTTTATACAATTTCTCTTTTGTTTGGTCTAAAATACTGGCATATTTGCTTTAACAGTAACCAAACTGAAATGATCCTTTTTAAAAAAAAAAAAAAATTTCAAAACTGTCTAATAAAAAAAGAAAAAAAAGGAAAATTTAACTGATGATCAATGCTGCAGGAGAAGACTATCAAAGGATGATGGCTAAAGATGAAAACAAAAGGTCACTATGAGAAGTGCAGCAAAAAAAAGCTAAATGTAATCTTTGAGCCAGTAGGCACTTTTAACAGCAGTTTAATGATATAAGCCATGTGTGTTAAAGTGTTTGTTTTAACATCATTAGCATAAACATTTTGGAGTTACCAAATGCCTATGTGAATTAAAAGGGAGCTCTGCATTGATTAAATGAGACAATTAAACCTAACACTGTTTTTTAAAGTGTATCTTGATGAAATTCTACAAGCAAACAAAATTTGCTTTCACTTATATGCATTTGACACTTAAATAGACACATATACAGAATTTATACAGTTCATTTAAGTTGAAATGTCTTTTTTAGACCTGTTTATGAAGCTTAAGCATAAATTCAATCTGGACGACTCGAATCAGCTTCACAGGAACCTCCTGCGATGTCCTTCATTCAACTCCAGCCAATCAATTCACCAAAGCCAATCATCTTGCAAGATTCCCTTCATTTAGCTCCTGGCCCAGCTTCTCTCTCCGCTCCTGTCTCCTCGAACCCCAGTCAGCCTCGGCAGATAGCTGCATACATTGAGCCTGGTTCTGCTGGAGATTTCTTCCTCTTAAAAGGGAGTTTTCCTCTCCACTGTCGCTACATGCTTGCTAAATGTGAGAGATTGCAGATGGTCAATTAGTCCTCGCAATCAGCTGATTTTCCTTCGATAGAAATATTTTGTTAAATATGACTGTTACCTGTATCGATAAATTGATTATTTTCTAATTGAAACTTTTCTCTATGTGAGTCTCTTCAGGTTATAAATGTGCTACAGCACTGATGCAACTGTGGTGTTAAAAAAAAAATATCTGAAATGCTTAATCTAACAGTATAGTTTTACATATGCTCAGTTAAAGATGCACTCACCTCAGCATGCTAAATGCTTTAAACTAAAGCAAAACTAGTTTAAAAAAACAAAACAAAACATGGTAACATGACATCCAAAAGTAAGGTACCACGCAGGTGTATTTGGATCACACAATTATCCCAGGAGACGAGCACTATTCACAGTGGGAGGTAAACAAAAACGATGCATGTACTTCAAACCCATGGCAGGAGTTCATGTTGTACTGATTCTGCTGAATATTCTTTAAGGACACGCCATGAAACGTTTGGCCACTAGGGGCACTAGACCTGTAAATTTCCGTATTTTGCTTCTATAAACATTGAAAATAATTACGAAGATGTATAACTGTATATTAGGAGCAAAGTGTTAACTTACCACTATAATAATAATGTCAAGAAAAGACAATCTGTTTTAAATTTGGATTTGTGTTTCAGCCTGCGCCGAGGAATAAAATCCTTTCCAAGATCGACTCTTGTTTTTCCTTGTGCATTTTCCCTTTCATGTTTGCTCTTTTAAGCCTCCTCAGAAGGTTTAAACTTTTTCCTCGCCTCAGCCATGACCAGTAGTCGATCAGGTGGAGAAATAGTGGAGTAAAAGCCTTGGCTCCATGATGATATTGGAGCCTGCGGCTGTAAAGCGATACGTTCTTCCAGGTCACGTGTCCTGATCAATGACAGTGCTTCTTCTCCCAACTTGCATAGTATTTCAAGAGAGAAGCCCCGATTGTAGCATTGATGGTGTTGAATGCTGTATATTGGACTGAGGAATCATTTAAAATTACTCATATAAGTCAACTCTTTAAGTCTGCACTGCAGTTTGCCTTTAAATCCCACATAAACTCACAATTTATATATGCCTGCATACACGGCAAGAAAAAGTTTAAAAATGTTTGCTTTTTTCTTGTTCAGAAATAATTTTTCTCGAGGCTTCATGTCTCTCAGAGTTCCAACCATGAGCGTTTTCCCTCCAGTTCGACAGGACCGAGTCATTGCGCAGCTCCCTCAGGTAAAAAGCACAAGAAAGACTGTTAATAACTGTTGCTTTAAAAACATATTTGAAGGTCTCCCTTATGTCTCTCTCTCCTCTTGTTCCAACAATTCAGGCTTTCAGAAAAGAAGCAGCTTTTCACATTACGGAAGACTTCAACAATAAAGTTAGGAGCGCCTGCCAGGAAAGGCGGACTGGCACTGTGGGGTGAGAACCCAAACCTCAACCCTTTCATATCTGTTTGACATCATTCTTTAGGCTGATTCTTCTCTTATTCTTCCTGGCAGATTTAAAATCTCCAAGGTCATCGTTGTTGGTGATCTGGCTGTGGGGAAAACCTGCCTGATTAATAGGTAAACTACCATCTTTTTAATATGTGAAGCATGCTACAGTGCAACTCTGGGAATAAATAACTTAGGAAGCTTGCATCAACATGTATGTAAAATGTCCAATCTGAGTCTGACCTGTTAAACTAATCCTGTGCTTGAGGCTGGATTCCCTCTCCTAATAACCTTTAATGAATATTTTTGCCAAATCATAGTATATTTTATAGCTGCATAATTTTCCATCATGTTTTTTTACTGTTTAAAGTCCTGTTAATGGAAGGGGTGACCCTCCCCCACCAGTTTCTGCACAGTGCTGAATAGCAGGTGGAAGGCAGAAACTGAAGCAGAGAAGAAATGCAGTAGTCATTCCTCTACCACATTGTCAAAATATTAGGGAATGTATGTAAATATTAGTAAATACTTATCTGACATTACAGTATTGTTATTGGCCCACATTTTTACATTGGTTTATCCCTAATTTTTGCAGCAGGTTGAATAGATGTTGCTTGGTAGAGTGGTGGTCTAGTGGTTGGCTTGGAGATGCGGTAAAATGGCCAGTTCAAACGTAAACGTTAATTTTAATGTGCATTTTCAATACCGTAATTTATTATTACAGCTAAACTTTTTAGAAAGAACGGACTGTTGTGACTCTGGTTCCCCTTCCCTTCTGTTTATGGTTTTTAATTCATCTTTAATGTATTTGTGCAAATGTTGTCATTCTTCTTAAATAAGTAGCTGATTTGTGAAGTTATAGTAATGTTACTGTAATTTACACACACTGTCAAAAGGAGCCAATTACAGGGACATAAATGTGTAACTTAACCAAAGACTACCACACCCTGCGACCAAAATGTCCAATACTCTAATGGCTTCTGTAATTAGGTTTTACCCACCATGACCCGGTGATCAGGAAAGAAAAACTGCATTTTCTGTTTTAGATTTTGCAAGGATGCCTTCGATAAGAACTATAAGGCGACGATCGGTGTTGACTTTGAGATGGAGCGCTTTGAGGTGCTCGGCGTCCCTTTCAGCCTGCAGCTGTAAGTCTAACCTGTGTTTTTATTTCAGATAGGGTCCAGATGCTGTTTATGTTGCTCAATTTTCTCCCCTCTATTACAGTTGGGACACTGCAGGCCAAGAAAGGTTCAAGTGCATTGCTTCCACATACTACAGAGGAGCTCAGGGTTTGTCCTTCCTCTCTAAATATAACAATAATTAACATGAAATATGTATCTAATTAATTAAAAAAAGACTATTTTGTTTACTTTTTTCTCAGTCGTGATCATTGTGTTTGACGTAAATGACATCGCCTCTTTAAGCCATGCCCGGTAGGTTCACAGATCAGCAGGATATTGTTGACCTCGTGGTTCCTCTGTCTCCTTTAGTTGACTGTTTCTGTTATTGCAGGCAGTGGCTTGAGGACGCCTTAAAGGAGAACGACCCCACTAGTGTTCAGCTTTTCCTCGTTGGCACCAAAAAGGACATGAGTGTGAGTCCTCTGCTGTTTAATGTGGACATTTTATGTTCTTTTCACTGGAAATGAATGTGAATAACCTGGACCGACGCCATGCACAGAGAGGTTGTGTTCTTCTGGTTAAACCCTCAGGAATGTTTGGCCTCCTCATATAAAAACCCCAAAGCATTTCTGATTAGAGCAGAAGTGATGGAGTATGGGAGTTTTATTTTTTAAGGAGCTGTTGCCTAATTTACAGAATGTTTCTCTATTATTTTGCTGCCAATGATAAATTGTAATGTCTTTTAGAATTTTTTTCCTGTAGAAATTTTCTGTCCCTCATTATTTTATATTATATAATTATTTGCACTTATTAAGAAAAATATAATGAAAAAAGCAAAATGAAAGCACGCAGCTTTATACAGGCATAATTCATAAAATTAGGATGTTGAAAAGCTTATTTATTTCAGTAACTCAATTCACTAAAAACTCTTATTAAATAATAATCCCACAGATAATTATATTTTCAAACCTTTTATTTATTTAAAATAATTCCTGGCCTAAAGCTCATGAAAACCCAGCATTTAAGATTAAAATATGACATGAAAAATGAGGACTTAAACTATGTTAAATACCTGCTTAAAGGTTTGATCTAGTAAATAAGCATGTTCCATTTTTTATATCCCTTAAATATTTAAAAAGAAATGAAATAACCTTTAATATAAAATATTACCTGCATTTATCTGGATGTAGTTGGTGTGACGTCTCTCTGTTGTTTCTTTTAAACAGTCTCCTGCTCAATATTCTCGGATCGAGCAAGACGCTCTGAAACTTGCAAATGAGATTCATGCAGAGTACTGGGCTGTTTCCTCTCTGACAGGTGAGTCGGCAGATTAGAGTCCTGTTTAAATCAAACATCTGAAACATCACCATCGTTGATACATCTTGTCAATCACTCCCTATATAAAAAAAACTAGATTTGCAGAATCATCTTTATTTGATTTCTTATTTAGTTTTTATGGTCAGAGAGAATAAAATTAAGATAAGCTCTCCAACGATTTCATAGTAGAGCCTTAAAGATATTGCTGAAACAAACAGACAATTTATGACATGTTTAAAATGTCCGTACGTTTGGGTTACATATTCATTCTTGTTATGAAATAAACTTTCTTATTATTGGTAGATTTGGAAAAGGATTTGTGTTGAACTTTTACCAATATCACACAGTACCTAAATACATGGGTGGACTTTTACTTCTTTAATTGAACAACTATAACTTAATGTTACTTTTATTTTTATATTTTCTTTAAAGTGTTGGTAATGCAATATTGATTTAATGTAATTTTGCATTACAACCATGCAGCAGGACATACCAGGTGGTTCTGCACACATGCTTATTTTTAACACAAATATCCTACATTTAGTAGCTCCACAGCAGCACTGATTTTTAGCTTGTAAAAACAAATCTTTGTGTGCCGATGTCAGAGGAAGAACCCTTTTGCAGCTAGCTCAGCATTCTGTAATGGAGATGGATGGAAACACTGATGTTTGTTCCAGGACATCTAGTTTGAGATTGATTTGAATGTTTGAACCATCAGCCAGTTCAAGCTCAGGTGATGCTGAGTAATATGGAGGCATCACACCATTCAGGTCAGAAGACAAGGCAAGGCAAATTTATTTGTATAGCATAATGCAGTACAAAGACAATGCAAAGTGCTTTACATGATTAAAATATAGGAAAATGAAACAGAATCAAAGCAAGTAGGAAAAAATTAATACAATTAAATTAAAAATGCAGAAACAAAAAAAGAATATTTAAAACAGTTGGATTAAAGAAAATATGTTTCAGTTGAACTGTTTAACTAGAACAGTCGAAGGCAATCCTAAACAAATGTGTTTTTAGTCTTGATTTAAAGGAACTCAGGCTTTCCGCACTTTTACAGTTTTCTGGAAGTTTGTTCCAGATATGCGGAGCATAGGAACTAATTGCTGCTTCTCCATGTTTAGTTCTGGTTCTAGGTATGCAGAGCAGGCTGGAGCCAGAGGACCTGAGTGGTCTGGAGGGTTGATAAACTGATAGCAAGTCTGTGATGTATTTAGGTGCTAAGCCATTCAGGGATTTATAGACTAACAGAAGTATGTTAAAGTCTATTCTCTGAGATACAGGGAGCCAGTGTAAGGACTTTAGAACTGGGGTGATGTGCTCTACTTTCTTAGTCTTAGTGAGGACACGGGCAGCAGCGTTCTGGATCAGCTGCAGCTGTCTGATCCACTTTTTAGGCAGACCTGTGAAAACACTGTTGCAGTAATCAATTTGACTAAATATAAACGCATGGATTAGTTTTTCTAGATCATGCTGAGACATTAGTCCTTTAATCCTGAAAAAGTTCTTCAGGTGATAGAAAGCCGACCTTGTAATTGTATTTAATTGCTTTTGGAGGTTTAAGTCTGAATCCAGCACTACACCTAGATTTCCATCCAGAGCGGACCTCTAGCCTACAGAGTCGGACTCTGAGCCGGAGGGTGACGGCCAATATCACCGCAGCAGCAATGGTAGAAAACACATGGCAGGGAAACACGCCTTGCTATGCCTGGTACAGATAGTGTAACAAGTTATTAGTTTATACATTTTAATTAGTATATAATACTTTAAATAAACATGGTTTGCTAATAAATCCTCCACTGCTGTTAAATGATACTATATTTTTAAAGGTTTAGCTAGCAACTTCACCCATCCTTCACTGCCAGGTTTGGCAGATCTACTGTTTCCAGCCCCAGAACAATGTGAAACCCCTCAATAAAAAAATAAACAAAAACAACCTTGTGTTAATCTGAACCTTCTGTTAAAAGCACAGACTTAGCTACAAACAATTAGCTCTGGATCATCGTCTGGGACAGCAGCAATCTATGATCTAAGCTCCACATCAGCCTCCATTCTTACCTTAACATCCTCTCGGCTCAGATTTTACCCCAACCTATATCAACTTCTGCACAAAGGCAACAAATCATGCATCAGCAGTCATTTTTAGTAATCGTTTGGGATTTATGCAGACTATAAAGCATTAGTTTCTGCTCAGAATGTTGATTCATGTGAACATTTAGGTCTATTTCCTGTTTATATTTTGCATTCCTGCTAGCTGTACAGTCAGCATAACAGTTTGTCATTGTGACTGTAAAACATTATTAGTATAAATGCTAACAGTTTATCAGAATTTCATGTTTTATTCACAAGTCAGACACAAGTCAGAATAGAGAGTCTATTTAGCCACAATAGTTGTTTCCTTCCAGTCTGTGACAGAGCACTGGCTGCTTTATTTCTTTATTTTTTTAGGGGAAAACGTCAAAGAGTTTTTCTTTCGAGTCGCTGCTTTGGCCTTTGAGACAAACGTTCTCGCGGAGTTGGAGAAAAGTGGATCGAGGCAGATTGGAGACGTTGTCAGTGAGTATCGGAACTGTCTCAAAAAGTAAAAGATAAGACGCACAGTTTGACTCTCCTCTCTGTTGTTGTTTCAGGAATTAACAGCACCTCAAGCAATCCGTACGCTACAACAAAGAAGAAACAGGGAAACTGCTGTCAGTGAGGCTAAGACAAAGGTTTTTACATTTTTGAGGCCCAAACGCACAGACTTGGATGAAGGCTTTTTTTTTCAGCAGTGGATAAATGGCTGCCATCCAGCTTGGTTTCTGTGGCCAGAGAGAGAGTGGCTGCATTTCATGCCCTGTTTACAGTCTCTTTTTTTTTTTTTTTTTTCCATGGCCAGAGGAAGTTTCCTGTAAGGGAAAAATGATGTTATTCATGGTGTTCCTCAGTTTTGGCTTGACTTTAACCCAGAATGATGGGTTATGCCACCAAAATACCAAAGAGTTTGTAGATGCTTACTTTGCTTAGAACCTTGGTTTTACTGCCGTAGTTCTGTTTCTCAATCAATCCGTTTGCACATGTTTAACCCAAATATATCTAGTGTTGACTTTTCATCTAATTCTAAATCACCACTTCAACACCCCATCTCCTCTGTTTGACTTTTAGACTATCAACACTGAAACAAGGAAACAGACGTGAACAAAGTAGAGCCTAAAAGGTGTTCAGAGCAGTTCCCTAAGGCCCGCTCTATTCCTATTATGAACTTATCTTGAGGTGTCTTATTATAAATGTATCTGAATGCAGCAGCAGCACAGTCTCATAGGTATTCTGTGGGTGGAAACATTTCTGTTTTGCTGGTAATGTTACTGGGATCTGTCACACTAAAATGAAATCAAACCATCTATTGGTTATACCTACTTGCACACATAGAGCAATATAGACTTAATAGTTAATATTTCTGTTTACTGTGGGAGGAAACCAGAGGGAGAACGATCTCCATGAAACTTGTTTCAGTGACTGTTTTTTCTCCTCTTAATCCAAGTTGCTCTGAACCTTAAATTATCAACTTTTAAATAATTTTTTTTTTTAAGTAGAGGTCTAAATAAAAAATGCACCAATTAATTTTCTTCCAAGATTATCGGTGTTGATCCTATTTAACCGACGAATGAATAAACTTTATATCTTACCATGTGAATGAAGGCTTCAGCTTTGATATAAACATTGTTTAAAAAGGGAAACAAAATAACACAGATATAAATCTACTTTTTTATTGTTTATTAATGAATAATAAAAAAATAACAGATATAGGGCACTGCGTTGGATCTTAGATATCCGATATAAAATCACCGATATCAGATCCAGGTATTGAATCAATGTGTCCAATCATTTCAAAATTTAAAACAACTTTAAAAATAATGATGTTTTGAAAAATGGAAATAGTTCTGTTTCCATAAAGTGCCTTAAATGTCCATTAAATTATGATGATGAGTTATTGTTTGGTAGGGATACAGATAATGCTGGCCTGTTTTCATTTTCTTTTTGGAACCTTCTTAGAATGTTTAATTTTTAGAAATGCACAGCTAAATTTGTAATAATTGTGGTAATTTTATCTCATTTTTATTTTCATGCCTCCTCATAAAGGGAAAACTCATTAAAGGTTGGATCAGTATGAAATGATGTTGCTGCAAAACAAGTTATCCCATTTTAAGACTTTTTAAACTTGTTTTCCAAGCATGGAGGTTGTTAAATGTCAAAGTTACATTATTAAAGCATTAGTGTGTCACAGCACAAAGGAGAGATGTATTGTGTATGTGAGCTGAGGGCTAAAACGTAATAATAATAAATTAATTTCTAGTGCAACATAAAGAGATATCAGGGATCATCATCATGCCTTTAACCATTTTCTCACGCCTCCATCTTAAGGAAAAATATTTCCAGGAAGCTTGATAGGTACTTACTTATTGTTTTTATTTAATCAGTGACTGAATTTGTTGTAGAGTTTTTATTTTGTCTTTGTGAGCATCAACTGTTTTGATTCAAGTGTCTGATTTTTATTTTTATTACACGAGAAATCCTGTGCTATTATTTTGGTTAGTAAAAAAATATCAAAACCTAAGTCATTTAATAATTACCTTGCTGTATTTCTATGCAAATTAAAGTATTTGATATAAAGTTTATTTTCTCTTCATTAAGCTCTGAAAATCTTCTACTTGTTAAAGCTTTTCAAAATGTTCATATATTTTCCATCGACTTGACTCTGCAGACCTTCTGGGATGCAGTGGGAGAACTTGTAGTTTTCCTTGATCCACTTCCCTCCTTCCGTGTTCTCAATGGCCACAGCGGCTACGCCTGCAGCAAACAGGGACACGTGTCCAAAATCAGCTCTGGAGCTTTTAATTAGCCACAGCATTAAAAAGGTGATTTTGCTGCCTGACCAACAACCGTGGCTCCCTGTTTCTCCACCAACTGGATGGCAGCCCTCATAGTGCCTCCTGTCTCTATCCACTGGTCCACCAGCAGAACCCTCATACCTGCAGCAGAACACAATCCTTAACTTTTAACAATGAACATCTTTATTCCAGATTATTTAGTGCAATTAAAATTAAACATATGCAAATTCCATTCAATATTCTGTCCTTGTGTCTGAAAGGGGGTATAAGGAAGTGATAATGACTAATCATACCCCTTCCTTGCCTTTAGTCCTTAACACTAACAAACTTTCTGATTCCTACTTATGAGTCCATACTGCTCCAAAAGTTCATTAAGTGAGCAATTTAATTAGCTTATGTACATGTATGACCACAACCCTTGCAAAAATATAAATATAGCAATGTACAGTAACCATTGATGTGCACTGCCATCTTTGAGCCTTTTCCTTAAACAGCCTTGTTCTTTATTTCAACACTGATTTTATATCTCATAGAAATGGTTGTAAAGGAAATTATGACAAGGAGTTTTATTCAATGTTTAGTTTTTCTGACATTTCTTTTTGTGACAATATTTTAAGTGAAAAGAAACAAGGTTGAAATTGGACGTTTATACAGACATTCTGCCCTTATTTTCTTCAATTTATTTTTCTGAAGTTGTATTGTGTGAAGAATACAATAGAGAACAGAACATTTATATTTTACCCCAAGGTAATATTTCCATCCCAAATGTAAAGACATTTTTATATGGAATATTTCTGATTGTTATTTGAAAATAAAAACAATTAATGGCAATAATTAAATCCACTAGGTATTTTGTTAACACCAAGTGTACAAATAGAAAGCAGACATTAGATATCAAACAACCTTTTAAACCTCTACATATATATTATCATTTTACAGTTTCTCATTCTATTTCAGGAAGATACCATGTCCCATTTTTAATATTGATTTTTAGAAAATTCAAACCCTCAGTTTGAGAGCTTTTATTCCATTGGGGGAAAAGTTCTGCATTAAAAGATAACAACCTTTAACTTTATTGGCACCCTTCCTGCTAAAGCTCTATGAAAAAAACAATCTTTAATGCTGATATTTTAGGAAGTTTTGTTATGCAATGATGGTGGTCAGGGTGTTTTATCCAAAACATAGTTTATGAATACTTTACAAACTATGATCTATAGCTTTATAACTATTTTCTTCCTTTGTTTTAAACCAAGGACAGTTAATATTAGTTTGATGTGACAAAAGCCCAATGTTCCAGTTTAAAGTCAAAGTTGCATTCAGCAAAATGTTTAGGGTTGTGATGGCAGGACAGAACAGACTTAGCTAGATGGATAGAAAATGTGTTGTTTCAATAGGGGACATGTTGCTCAGTTAGAATATTGTATTGGCCATATAAACTGGCCATTAAAAAAAATTAAAATAAACCCAGCAAAAACTAAGAATCTCCTTTAGCAAAACATCCTTTACAGTTTTTGTAATATGTATAGAAGCTATAGCTTCTATACATATTACATAATCATGTATCCTGATCATTCTGCAGGTGTATTAAATACTTAGTTTATAAAATGTTCCTATAAAAAAAACGTTTTACCAGTTTAAGAGCAGAAAAAAAAAATCTATTGCTTCAATGCATTTTTTTAGAAACTAATTTCTTGTGTTACAAACTATTGTTTTGATCTAGCATGTAGAAATCAAATAAA